ATCTCGCCTATGTTGTTCATGTGGTTAGCCAGTTTGTCTCCGCTCCTCGCTCCACACATTGGGCTGCCTTGGTTCGAATTCTTCGCTATCTCCGAGGTACTATATTTCAAGGTTTACTGTTGTCCTCTACTTCCTCTCTGGATTTGCTGGCCTATGCTGATTCTGATTGGGCTGGTGATGTTATTGATCGCAAGTCCACGTCTAGTTTCTGTATGTTTCTTGGCGATTCCTTGATCTCTTGGAAAAGCAAGAAACAGACTGTTGTTGCTCGCTCTACTGCCGAAATTGAGTATCGTGCTATGGCTCATGCTACTGCTGAAGTTGTCTGGCTTCGTTGTCTTCTCTCTGCCTTGGGCGTCCCTCAGTCTTCTCTGACCTCTCTCTATTGTGACAACCGCAGTGCTATTCAGATTGCCCACAATACTATCTTCCATGAACAGACAAAACACATTATGATTGATTGTTACTTTGTCCGACAGCATCTGCAGCCTGGCTCTATCTCGCTTCCTTTTGTCACCTCGACTTTGCAACTTACGGACTTCTTCACCAAGACTCATACTACCGCTCGGTTTCAATTTCTTCTTAACAAATTCTCAGTGTTTTCTGCTAAAACACCTTGAGTTTGAGCGGGGGTATGAGAATATATTGTGTATATATGGTTGTGTGTATATATGGCATTGTGTATATTAGGAATTAGGCACGTATTAGGCAAGATTGTTGTATTAATTTCCTTTTTCGTATTTCCTTTTTCAGTCATAAATTTAGAGCTACATAATCTGATGAACTCTTTTGTAAATACACAAGTTGAAAATACTGATTATTCAGAAACTCTTACAATTTATAGTTGCAATATAATATGCCACATCTGTTAGTCAACAGTTAGATTGATTAATATTATTAAGCCTATATGAAGAAGGGAGATTTAAGTGAAGAGTTTAACCGGAGACTTTCTATAGTGCTTTTAATTATGTGGTTTTGGTATTTTTATGTAATCTCTGGCAGATGACATGTTAATCATCAAGATGATATGATTGCATAATTTATATCCTTTATAATTCTGTTTGGTTTACTTAACAAGTTTGGTGTGTTTAGCCTTTGCTTTTTGTTGTAGCACTAAAATACCAGATCAAAAAGCTTAATTGACATTTTCACACACAGTCAGCAAGACCTAAGCAGCCAATGTTTCTTGCTTTCTGGGATAGAATGATTGAAATGCTGATCCAACTAATTAGATTATTTTAGTTTTATTGACCAATTTCACAAGGAGTATGATTTCCCAATTCTTTGTAAAATTTTTCTTTTCCAAAAAACAAAAGGTTTAAGAGTTACTTCAGAAATGAAAAAAGATTGGAATCGTTGCTTTGTAAGTTTTAAAGGAATTTTTAAGAAACCCTTAACTGTAAAAACCATCTCGAATTTTAAGCAACACATTTATACCACTTTCTCTTAAATTTTGAAATAAAGTTATCTAATTTTCAGCCTCTAGTAAAATATCTTTGGTCACGCTTCTGTTACTTGTTAATACTGTCATTCCAGTATTTATGTTCTTTGAATAGCATGATCATTTGCTCTTCATATCAAAAATATATATATATTTAAGATCCACCATTCTTCAACTGCATCTATGAAATCTTAAAAAAAAAAGACTTGGACGTTTCTGCAAATCTTTTTGTAAAAGAAACCAGACACATCACCTACCCAACATCAATCTTTCTTTATAGAAAGCCCTGAATTGTGTGCTTTTTATTCATGTGGATGAGGCATACATGACTCATCCTCCAACTAAACTTTAGGATGCACCAACTTACTTACCTTTCTCCCCCCTATACATACATTTGCTGAATCCATGGTTAGAAATATCATCACTCTAAGCATCTGACAATCACGCAACATTCATTGGAGCAATAGCAATTTATCGAATATGAAGACACAACAGCTGGCACATGTTTTTGGAACTCCGGTCAGCTCACATGTGGCATATCTGGGTGAGATGACGCCAAAAAGAATTTTACATGACCCTGCTAGTGCTAGTGCTAGTGCTAGCCAATACCAAATTTCCTCTTCTTCGATTGGATCTCTGAAGTTAAAACAGAGTACGTCATTCCATTACTCTAGTCAATAAAGAGCTATTTCTACTTACTAGTATTACTAGTTTTAAATGCTTAAAATAGAGGCAGTGTTTAACAAATTGATTGCTACTAATGTGCAGATCAAGTAGATAGAATGAACAAACTTGGAGGAAAGCAAGACAATCTTGCAAACGGCATCCGAGAGCAAGGTAATATAATTAGTTCTTTTCTAGCAAAATTATTTGATGTCATTTTAACATCTCAATTTGTTTTTCTGCCAACAAGATGGCAGAAAAACTAACTGAAAAGATTTGAAAAACATTGAAACAAAATTCTTTTCTTCTTCATGGCTGTATTAATATTAGTGTCAACCAAACAAACATAGCAACAGGATGATCATGATACGCCTCTTTGTGAGTCTTATATTATTTTGTGAAAATTGCAGTGAGATTAGGGCCCAAGATCACTGAAATTGTGAAGGGGAAACTGAGTTTGGGGGCTAAAATTATTAGAGCAGGCGGTGTGGATAAGATTTTCAAGCACCACTTCAGCATTAGAGAAGGAGAGAAGCTGCTAAAGGCTCCCCAATGCTATTTATCAACAACAGCTGGTCCAATAGCAGGCCTCCTCTTCATCTCCACCGACAAGGTTGCCTTCTGCGGTGACAGATCCATGAAATTGTCTTCTCCAACCGGCGAGTTTGTTAGAATTCGTTACAAGGTGTTGATCCCGGTAGGAAAGATATTGAGGGCCAATGAAAGCCAAAATGTGAAGAGACCATCAAAGAAGCACATAGAAATAGTTACCGTGGACAATTTTGATTTCTGGTTCATGGGATTCTTGAATTATCACAAAACTTTGAAATATCTTCAGCAGCACTTTCACAGGCTCAATACTTCCAACTTGATCAGAAGTGATTAAATAGATGTATTCCACCCCCCAACCCCCCTACTTCATTAGATGTGTATGAATTAGGAGAACAAACTTGTATAAATATTGTAACAACTTTGTTACTTAGGCTTTTCTTCAATGGAAAAAAATTCTATCATCAGTAAATGGATCATTTATTGTGTCTGCTATATATCATTTCAGAATCGTTTGCATTATATATAAAGAATGCAAGGTGGAAAAGGAAACTGGTAAATTGCCATTAAAAATAATTTGAGAAGTACAAAATTCATAATCAACAAAGGATCAGTGGTTTTGCGTTGTGACATTTAGTTATTGCAGATAATCTTGACTGCTGGTTACAGGATTCCCGAATTATCATGACCAGCAATTTTCTTAGGTTTTGTTTGGATTTTGGATTTGAGGAGGAATTTCTGGAGGGGGAAAAATGGAAGAGAATGTGATAAAAATTTAAAAAAATTTCCCCTTTTTTTTTCATTCAGATTATTCTACTAAAATTGACGGAAACTCTCTTTCAATTTCAGTCCCTCATCGCTCATCTTCTCTCCTATTATTCAGTGATCTTCCTCTCAGAGCAATTCTGATTGATACTTTCAAAGAGTTTGTGAGAAGTTTCGCCATTTTCCAGTCCATTTGGTTACAAAAACTTTCCAGTTCTTTCCAACAGAACATTGCTAATAGAATCCTTCTAGTACCCCTCTTATTCTTACTCAATATTTGAAGTGCACTCAATTCAACAAAATCTTAATATTGATACAGTGTTACTATAATTTTTACATTGAACTATATTGTCCAAGATACACAACACTATAAGGAGTCATCTAAATCCTTAAACCTTAAATGTGGTTCTTCTCTTTTAACATATTACATGTTTTGCTAGCTATCTTCACCTAGAACCATGTTTTCTTTCCATTTTGACTATGTTTCAATTTATGTTAATTGAATCGAGTGAACTAGAAAACAAATTTTGAACCAAATCAAGACTCGTTAACCTAGAAAGTTCAAGAGCTGAAAAGTTGTTCAACTTGTGGGAAATTCATGCTGATAGGGATATGATGTGTAGATTCTCTTTCCCACTAACAATATAAGCATGAATATATATAATATATATAGTATTAAGACGAAGTAGTGTGCAAGGACGGCCTACAATCCAATCCATTCCACCTCAGGCTAAGATAAAAAGGAATGCCAAAATTGAGGATTGCAATCCAGATATAATGCATTTGAGTGGTTTGATCCTATCAGATTCTGATTTTCTGAACTGTCACTTTACCTCCCAAATTAAGTAACACATGATTGATTTCAAGAGTACTAATTTCATTTCAATTACCTTTGTTTTCCCTCAGTCTCACAATGCGATTGTACAAAAAACTTGAATTCTGGGGTTTCAATCTCAAAGTATGAAATTTACTTTGAATGATGAATAATTGCTTTGGAATTATAATTTGACAACTAAATTCTTATCCAAAATGGCCTGGATTGCACTTATTTCTGTTTTTTGTTTTTTTATTTTTGCTTAGCAGATCAAGGCACCACCCACCATTATTAAGCATATATGAAGAAGGGAGAACTAATTGAAGGGTTTAATCGGAGACTTTCGATAGTGTTGTTAGCTAAGCGGTTATGGTATTTTTTGTAATCTCTCACAGATGACATGTTATTGTCCATCAAATCATTAAGATGACATACCACTGCATAATTTATATCTTTCGTAATGCTGTTTGGTTTACTTAACAAGTCTGGAGCCTATAGCCTTTGCTTTGTTTACCACTAACAGTCTAAGAAAAAGGAATGGTGTCGTCACAAAGCCAAATTGCCAGCTCAAAAAGCTTAATTCACACCCTCACACACAGTAGCAAGCAGAAAATGCAAGGTTGAATGATTGAAATGCTGACCCAACTGATTCTACTATTTTACTTGCATTAACCAATTTCGCAAACAGTATGATTTCTTTTTCTTTTTATTTCTTGTTTTTTTCCTCTTTTGTAAAAGGTTCCAAAGTTACTTCAAAAATGAAAAAAGATTGAATGCTTGAATAACTTGATAGTCTTGTGAAACCTTAAAAACAGAAGACTTGAACCTCTCTGCAATTGTTCTTTCTAAAAGAAACCAGTCACACCATCACCTTCCCAACACCAATCTTTCGTTATGGAATTGTGTGCTTTTTATTAATGTGGATGAGGCATGCCTGACTCATCCAACTAAAGTTTAAGATCCACCAACTTACCTTTCTCCCCCTTATAAATACATTTTCTGAATCCATGGCTAGAACCATCACTCTAAGCATCCAACAATCTCAAAATATTCTGGGAATAGAAAGCAAAGCAGAATCACATCGGAGCAATAGCAATTCATCAAATATGAAGAAACAGCGGCTGGCACATGTTATTGGAACCCTGGTCAGCTCACCGGTAGCATATCCAGATGAGAGGGCACCAAAAAGAATTTTACAGGACCCTTCCACTGCTAGTGCTAGTGCGTATAAAGTAGATAGGATGGAGAAACTTGAAAGAAAAGAAGACAATCTTGCAAGCATCCAAGAGCACGGTAACTATTTCCTTGCCTCAATTGAGTCTTTGAATAACTAAATTCAAGAATATTATTTATTTTCAAGAAAAAGTACATAGCATTTTCAAAGCTATGGAAACCTCCATTACCAAATAATAAAATAAAAATAAATAATAGATATTTAGCATTTACTGGTATATGTCATATTAAGCTCTCAATTCTTTAGCTGCCATGAAGATGGCACAAAAATAAACATAAGAAGTTTTGAAATAAACTCTGAAACAGCTGTATTAGTGTCAAGTTGTCAACCAATACACCTCTATGCGAATGCGAGTCTTATTTGATTTTGTGAAAATTGCAGTGAAATTGGGACGCAAGATCACTGAAACTGTGAAGGGGAAACTGAGTTTGGGGGCTAAAATTATTAGAGCAGGCGGCGTGGAGAAGATTTTCAAGCACAATTTCAGCATTAGAGAAGGAGAGAAGTTGCTAAAAGCTTCCCAATGCTATTTATCAACAACAGCTGGTCCTATAGCAGGCCTCCTCTTCATCTCCACTGACAAGGTTGCCTTCTTCAGCGACAGATCCATCAAATTGTCTTCTCCAACTGGCAAGTTTATTAGAATTCGTTACAAGGTGAGTCAACACACATCTATATTTACAGCATTTCCATATTGTTAATTAGAAATCAAAGTAGCTAAGTAATGTGTATTGCATACAGGTCGTGATCCCAGTAGTAAAAATAAAGAGAGCCAATGAAAGCCAAAATATGAAGAGACCGTCACAGAAGTACATACAAATAGTTACCGTGGACAATTTTGATTTCTGGTTCATGGGATTCCTGAATTATCGTGGAACTTTCAAATATCTTCAACAGGCACTCTCTCAGGCTCAATACTTATAACTCGATCAGAAGTGATTAAACAGATGTATTCCGCCTCCGCCCCTCCTGGTTCATTAGATGTGTGTATGAATTAGGAGAACAAAGTTGTACAATCACAACATTGTAAAAAAATTGTTACTTAGGCTTTTGGTTCAACGGAAAACGATTTTTATCCATCTCTTTATTTCTTTTTAACACATTTGGTGTGAGACTGAAACATGGCTGTTTGTTTCCTACTCTTTTGTTCTAAGCATTAAAAAGAGGTGGTGTGGTGTCAAGAAGCTAAAATGCCACATCAAAATTTTTAAATCACTCACACACACACTAGTTCAAATTCAACAAGTGAAAAATTGTGATGCGCTGATGGGGCAATGATGTTGAGATTATCTTTCCAACTGACTATAAAATTGAGCATGGAATTGGATAATCTTATAACACATCAACACGTACCTACGAACGTAGTAGCATACAAGTCTGGCTTTAGATTTCGTCACTGATTCACTTGGTCATGTATAAATACATTGCTAAATACACAGTTTCACACATCATTCTACACATCTCCTTTGCTGCATACACCTCTGACAGTGGAAGAGAACAATCCAAGGAAGAAATAGACAGCGTTAAGTTCAAGCAATTCATCAAGCTTGTATATATGAAGAACCTCCTAATGAAACATACTATTGGAATTCCAGTGAGCTCGGTAAAATATTCAGTTCAGAAGTCACCAAAAAGACTTTTATGCAATCCCGATAGCCAATACCATATTCCCCCTCCTCCAAATGGATCTCTCAAATTCAAAAAGAGTAAGTCTCTCTCCATTTCTCTCAGGATTAGAGAGTTCTATGTTACTTGCTACTTTTAGATGATTGAAATTAAGACCAGTCTTTGATAATTTATTTTTATGGATGCAGATAAAGTAGGTACAGTGATTGATAAGATGAACAAGCTTGGAGAAAAAGCAGACCATCTTGCCAATGGCATTTAAGATCACGGTAACTACTTCTCAATTCAATTGAGTCTGATAATAATAAATTATCAAGTCTAAAAACGTATAAAAATTGGACTTCTATCTTGATTTAATTTGTTTTTTTGCAAAATTTCAGTGAGATTAGATTCCAATATCTCGGAAACAGTGAAGGGGAAGTTGAGATTGGGCGTAAAAATTCTTAAAGTTGGGGGGATGGAGAGGATCTTCAAGCAGAAATTTAACATTACAGAAGGAGAAAAGTTGCTAAAGGCTTGTAAATGTTATTTGTCAATAACATTGGGTCCTATGCAGGCCTCTTTTTTATCTCAACCTACAAAGTTGCCTTTTACAGTGAGAGATCCATCAAATTGTCTTCACCGAATAGGCAGGCAGTTAGAATCCATTACAAAGTGAGTCAATATAAATCAATGTCTGAATTCATATCCACTCTTGCTAACATATTAGATAAATATATGAGCTAACTAATGTGTATTACATGCAGGTCTTGATCTCACTTGTAAATATAAAGGGAGCCAATGAAAGCCGCAACACAAAGAGACCATCACGTGAAGTACATAGAAATAGATACTGTGGACAATTTTGATTTTTGGTTCATGGGATTCATGAATTATCACGGAACTTTCAAATGTCTTCAACAGGCACTCTCTCAGGCTCAATACAATACTTACAACTCGATTAGAAGTGACTAAACAGACCACCCCGCTAGCTTCGTTAGATGTGTATGCATTAGGATACCAAAGATGTATAATAACAATTTTGTACAAATTGTAACTTAAGGCTTTTGCTTCAATGGAAAACAATTTCTCAGTAAATGGGTTGTTGACGTTGTTTGCTATATATCATTTAACGACTTGATGGTAATTTGCCTAGTTTCCTCCAAATTTGTTTCCCAAGATTGGGAAGTGAAACCAGTACATTGCATGGTGCAATTTATAATTTGAGAGAACACAAAATGCATAATAATCAACAACGGGCCAATCGTCTTCCTCTCCGAGCAATTCTGATTTGCATGTACTTTTTAGTAGTGACAAGGTTCGCCTTTGCCATCCCATTTGGTCACAGAACCTTTCGAGTTCTTGCCAACAAAAGATTGCTAAAACCATCCTTCTATTCATGCAAAACTTTCTAAAATCTTCCCCATGAACTTGAAACATTTATTATTCTTATACCCAACAACATGAGTGATAAACTTATGCACATTCATTATGTACCCATATAATTCAACATATTACATAGTTTTTCCATCTATCTTCACGTAAAACCATGTTTTCTTTCATTATAGTATCGTTTAATTTATGTTAACTAAATCGAGTGAACTGGGAAACAAATTTCAAACAAAATCAACGACACTTGCTAACCATGAAATCTCAAGAGCTGAAAAGTTGTTGAACATGTGGAAAATTGTGTAGATGGGGCTATGATGTTGTTTCCACCATAAATTATTTTCTGTCAATTGTGGCCAAATCCAGTCTTGTTGATTGTGGCTTGTCGATTATGGTCAAATCTAATCTCATTGATTATGGCCTATCAATTATGGTCTTTCAATTGAGATCATGAACTATCTTTAAAGTGTAACTATGATCATATTTATTATTATTATTTGTTTTTTGCAGGATATGTGGCAACATCTTGTTTACTTGAAGGTTACTTGGAGGTTAATTGAAGTTGTACAAGATGAGGAGTTTAAAAGACACATGGCAATAATCTATTTCTTTGCAATTAGTTACCTACTTGTAAGGCACCACATTGATGTCATGGAAGAAGAAACTACCGAAGCAGTTATTAAAGGAAACATGTACATGAGCCTATAAATTGGCTATGGCAGATACAAATAAGGACATCAACAAACACCAAGATCAAGGCATATTCTATCATTATGAGTAGTATTTCTAAGTAGTTATGAATTGTAGTTGTGATGACAACTTCAATTTTAGGAGCAAGAGTAGTTGTAAGGTGTTAAGTATTAGTGTGTAAGAGTAGTTATGTCATTTGTTCCTTTAGTCTTTCTTTTATGCAAATCTAACATGGTATCAGAGTTTCATCTTCCTCTTTGAAGATTCTTCTCTTGTTCCTTGTTTCATTCGTTCTTCCCTATACATATAAATAAATAAATAATCCTTCATGGTCGAAATTTGATGGGTTTTCACCCTAGATTTTTATTTTTATTTTTTGATGCGTGTTCGAGTGTTTTTCCAATTTTTGTTGATTCCTAATCAACGGACTGTTATTTGTGGTGAGGGGGAGCCTAGTAGTTCTTTTGATGTGGAGCCTGACATTGGTGGTCGTTTGGACAGGGTTGACCTTAAGACTTATTCTCGGCGTCCAAAAGAGAAAGCTTCCCTTGTGCCACCAGACCCATCATCATCCATCATGCCAGTTCCAGATAATACATCTCAGTCTATTCCTTTACCTATAGTTAAGAGTCCTGTTGTCAATGATTCAAGTCTTCCTTTTGCTCTTAGAAAGGGGGTTAGGGCTTGTACTCAACACCTCATTTCTAAATTTGTGTCATATGAATCATGGTGATTTGGAGGAGGAGGTATATATGGATGTACCATTAGAATTCTTATCTCAGTCTACAATTAGGAAAGTTTGTAGGTTGAAAAAGGCGTTATATAGTTTGAAATAGTCTCCTCGAGCTTGGTTTGACAGAATCCAGAAGGCTGTGTTGAGATTCGGGTATAAGCAAAGCAATGTAGATCACACAATATGTTCATCAAACGCCATGCAAATAAGGTAACTGTGCTTATAGTATATGTGGATGACATAGTTGTGATAGGTAATGATAAGGAAGAAATGACACATCTTAAGATGCTGTTGGCCAAGGAATTTGAGATCAAAGACCTTGGTCCGTTGAGGTACTTTCTTGGGATTGAAGTTATCAGATCTGACAAAGGCATCTTTATTTCTTAGCGGAAGTATATTCTAGATCTTTTTAAGGAAACTGGCATGTTAGGCTGTCAATCTGCTGATTCGCCAATTGAGGCTAATCACCATCTTTGTAGTGGTGTTGGTGATCTTATGGAGAAGGAAAGGTACCAACGACTTGTGGGAAGACTTATATATTTATCCCACACTCATCCAGATATTGCTTATGCGGTTGGGATAGTGAGTCAATTTATGCATGAGCCTCGTGCCCCTCATTTGGATGTAGTGTATCGTATTTTGAGGTATCTTAAATTTGTTCCTAGAAAAGGGATTTTATTTTCCAATCATAGTCACTTGAGGTTGGAGGCATTCACAGATGTTGATTGGGTTGGTTCTATAGATGACAAGCGATCTACCACTGGTTACTGTGCATTTGTGGGGGGGAATTTAGTCACATGGCGTAGTAAGAAACAAACAATGGTGTCCAGATCTAGTGCAGAGACAGAATACAGAGCTATGGCACATGGTACATGTGAACTGATGTGGCTCCAGTCCTTGTTAAATGATATTGGGTTTGTTTGCAGTGAACCATTAACATTGTATTGTGACAACTAAGCTACCATTAATATTGTTCACAATCTTGTTCAGCATGATAGGACAAAGCATATTGAGATCGACAGACATTTTATCAAGGAAAAATGAAATAAGGGTTTAATATATATGCCTTTTGTGAAGTCTGGAGATCAATTGGCTAATGTCTTTACTAAGGGTCTTAGTAGTAAGATTTTCCATCCCATTTGCTGCAAGTTGGGTATGAGAGATATCTTTGCACCAACTTGAGGGAGAGTATTAAGTATTAGTGTGTAAGGGTAGTTATGTCATTTGCTCCTTTAGTCTTTTATTATAAATATGTGTAAGGGTGCCTCTATTTACACACCACTTTTCATCTCAAGGCACACCACTATTACTTTAATAAATTGATAAATAAACAATTTGCTCAATACACACCACAACTTTCCATCTTTACCCTTACTCACACACCCCACCCACAATCTTCAATCTTTACCCTCACTTACTCACTCACACACCCCACCCCCATCCACGATCCATCTCCCCCTCCATTCAAATCCAGTGGTGAACAAAACCATTGGTGAAGACTCCTCAAGACGCCGGTGGTGCTCGTTGTCGTCATAGTTGGAAACGACTCCACATTGTAGATATAGTAGGTGAGTATTCTCATTTGGCTTAGATTTTAGGATTTTATAAGTGTTTGGCAGTACAGAGTCGAACTAAGTAGAATTGTTCGACTATTTTTAACCGAACAATTGGTGTTTGTTCGATACTTACAAACCGAATAATTGGAGTATGTTCGACACTATGAAACTGAACATATACAATTTGTTCGGTTGTAGGTAGTCGACCATGGATATATTGTTCGACTCTAGATAATCAAACTGATACAAACGGTTTACCACTCCTCAAGTTCAGGAAAACGAAAAAAAAATAAGAAAATAACATTTTCCTTGCTCCATTGTTTAGTATTGCCAGATGCATCCATCATTGAATCCAATCAAAATCTTCAATAATACATATATTTTTGGTTATTTCTTTAAGGGTTTTTGGTTTTTGTTTTAGGGTTTTTGGATTTTTGAGAGACAAGATACGTAACTAACGTTTGAGATTCTTGATGTGTATTATATTCATTGTTGTCCTTTATGGTAATTATACAAATGTTGTATATCATAGCCCTTTGCCCTTTATGATCATTTTACCTAAGGTTAAAATTGTAATAAAAAATAAACTAATTAATGGTTTGCCTTTGTCCTTTATGATCTTTTTAAGGGTGTTGGTGATCTTATGGAGAAGATAAGGTACCAACAACTTGTGGGAAGACTTATATATTTATCCCACACTCGTCCAGATATTGCCTATGCTGTTGGGATAGTGAGTCAATTTATGCATGAGCCTCGTGCCCCTCATTTGGATGCAGTGTATCGCATTTTGAGGTATCTTAAATTTGTTCCTGGAAAAGGGATTTTATTTTCCAATCATGGCCACTTGAGGTTGGAGGCATTCACAGATGCTGATTGGGCTGGTTCTATAGATAACAGGCGATCTACCTACAGCTACTGTGCATTTGTGGGGGGGAATTTAGTCACATGGCGTAGTAAGAAACAAACAATGGTGTCCAGATCTAGTACAGAGGCAAAATACAGAGCTATGGCACATGGCACATGGTACATGTGAATTGATGTGGCTCTAGTCCTTGTTGAATAATATTGGGTTTGTTTGCAATGAACCATTGACACTGTACTGTGACAACTAAGCTGCCATTAGTATTGTTCACAATCTTGTTCAGCATGATAGAACAAAACATGTTGAGATCGACAGACATTTTATCAAGGAGAAATTGACTAAGGGTTTAATATGTATGCCTTTTGTGAAGTCTGGAGATCAATTGGCTAATGTCTTTACTAAGGGATAGTAGTAAGATTTTCCATCTCATTTGCTGCAAGTTGGGCATGAGAGATATCTTTGCACCAACTTGAGGGAGAGTGTTAAGCATTAGTGTGTAAGGGTAGTCATGTCATTTGCTCATTTAGTCTTTTATTATAAGTATGTGTAAAGGTGCCTCTATTTACACACCACTTTTCATCTCAAGGCACACCACTATTCAAGGCACACCTTTAATAAATTGATAAATAAACAATTTGCTCAATACACACCACAACTTTCCATCTTTACCCTTACTCACACCCCACCTATAATCTTCCATCTTTACCCTCACTTACTCACTCACACACCCCACCCCCATCCACAATCCATCTCCCCCTCCATTCAAATCCAGTGGTGAACAAAACCATTAGTGAAAACTCCTCAAGACGCCGGTGGTGCTCGTTGCCGTCATAGTTGGAAACGACTCCACATTGTAGATATAGTAGGTGAGAATTCTCATTTGGCTTAGATTTTAGGGTTTTATAAGTGTTCAGCAGTACAGAGTTGAACTAAGTAGAATTGTTCGACTATTTCTAACCGAACAATTGGTGTTTGTTCGATACTTACAAACCGAATAATTGGAGTATGTTCGACACTATGAAAACTGAACATATACAATTTGTTCGGTTGTAGGTAGTCGAACATGGATATATTATTCGACTCTAGATAATCGAACTAATACAAACGGTTTACCACTTCTCAAGTTCAAGAAAACGAAGAAAAAAAAGAAGAGAAAATAACCTTTTCCATTGTTTAGTATTGCTAGATGCATCCATCAATGAATCCAATCAAAATCTTCAATAATACATATATTTTTGGTTTTTGTTTTAGGGTTTTTGGATTCTTGAGAGACAATATACGTAAGTAACGTTTGAGATTCTTGATGTGTATTATATTCATTATTGTCCTTTATGGTAATTATACAAATGGTGTGCATCATAGCCCTTTGGCCTTTATGATCATTTTACCTAAGGTTAAAATTGTAATAAAAAATAATCTAATTAATGGTGTGCCTTGAGATGAAAGGTGGTGTGTAAATAGAGGACCCTATGCCTAACCCTAATATGTTTGGGAGTGAAAAAATACACACAGCAGCAATTCTCAATTCTCTCTCTTTTCTTCTTCTCATTCTTTTCTTTCTTTTATGCAAATCTAACATAAGGTAATATACTTCTCCAAAATTGTAATCATCGTGTTCTATTCAAGATATTACGGTTCTGCTTTTGTGGAAGTTGTTCTCAATTCAGTTACTTCTTCGTTCTCTCTTTTATTTTCCTGTGTTTACTATTAGAACCTTTACACAGTTATCTGATATATTGTTTGGTTGTTTAGTTAAAATCTTTGTTCAATTCCAGCTTTAGATTTGGACATGGAAACATGTTGAGATGGACCATTGAAAAGCGTTAAAGCATCTTTCTTTAATCTGAGGATAAGATTGATAAGGAATGCCAAAATTGAGGATTGTACTCAAATTCAGATAAGGCATTTGGGTGGTTTAATCCTGTCAGATTGTGAAGTTGTCATCAGTCGCCTTTCCTCCCAAATTAAGTAACACTAGATTGATTTAGAGAACTTGAATTCTGTGGTTTCTTCAATCTAGAGCATCAACATTTTGTTTTTGAGAATGCTGAATGATGTTTCGGAATTCTAATTTGAAAACTAGATTCTAGCAGGAAAATAGGAAATAGACAGCAATAATCAAGATGAAATATTATTGTTTGTTGCGGATCTTGGGCACACCAGGGGACACTCACAAGCAAAAACACAAGACTTTTAACGTGGTTCGGCAAACCGGCCTACGTCCACGGGAGCGATGTTGTTATATATCAACAAATGGAGGAGATTACACACTCTCAACTCACTGTCTCTTTTCCATTTTCCTTTCCAAATCCCTCCTCAAATCCCTCAACCAAACACAGCATTAGAGAACTTGAATTCTGTGGTTTCAATCTAGAGCATCAACATTTTGTTTTTGAGAATGCTGAATGATGTTTCGGAATTCTAATTTGAAAACTAGATTCTAGCAGGAAAATGGGAAATAGACAGCAATAATCAAGATGAAATATTATTGTTCTCCAATGGTCAAGATATTAATGTTGTTTGGTTTACCTAACAAGGTTGGTGTGTTATGAATATTTTTAAGAAGGAATGGCCCCCAAAGCTAAATTGCCAGCTCAAAAAGCCTAATTCACACCTTCACACACAGTCAGCAAGACCTAAGCAGGCAATATGGTCCTGCTTTGGAACATTGAATGATTGAAATGCTGACCCAACTGATTCTATTATTTTACCTTCATTGACCAATTGCACAAAGTGTATGGTTTCTGTTTTATTATTTAATTTTTTAATGGTTCAAAAGTGACTTTAGAAATGAAAAAAGATCGAATGCTTGCTTCGCAGGTTTTAATGGAATTTCAAAAGTTACTTTCTCCTAATTTTTTTTTAAAAAAATTATCTAATGCTTAGCCTCAAATAATGTCTTCGGTCAGGAATTTATCACAAAAGAAGACTTGGATTCTGCAAATCTCTTTTCTAAATGAAACCACACACATGATCACCTTCACATCAGCAATCCTTCTTTCTAGAATGTTTTTTAAGAGTTGTGTGCTTTTATTCATGTGGATGAGGCACACATGACTCATTCCACTAAGATTTTTAAGAGCCACCAACTTACCTTTTCTCTTCCTATAAATACATTTGCTGAATCTGTGGTTTGAACCCTCACTCTAACCATCTGACAATCCCACAACATTCTTGGAATAGAAAGCAAAAACAGAATCACATCGGAGCAATAGCAATTCATCGAATATGAAAACACAGCAGCTGGCACATGTAGCCTATCTGGGTGAGAGGACACCAAAAAGAATTTTACAAGACCCTGCTAGTGCTAATGCTAATGCTAGAGGATACCAAATTTCCTCTTCTTCGATTGGATCTCTGAAATTAAAACAGAGTAAGTCTCTCTATTACTCTTGCCAATACAGAGCTCAAGAGCTATTTTTTTACTTACTAGTTTTAAATAGAGGCATTGTTTAACAAATTGATTGTGATTAATGTGCAGATGAAGTAAATTGGATGAACAAACTTGGAGGAAAGGCAGATAACCTTGCAAATGTCATCCGAGAGCACGGTATTATAATTATTTATTTTCTAGCAAAATTATTTGGTATCATATTAACATCTCAATTTGTTTTTTCTGCCAACAGGATGGCAGAAAAACAAACTGAAAAGATTTGAAAACCCAAAGGAAACAAACATTGAAACAAATTTGTTTTCTTCCTCTCAACCAAGCCAACATAATAGGAGTAGGATGATCATGATACGCCTCTATGCGAGTCTTATATTATTTTGTAAAAATTGCAGTGAGATTAGGGCCCAAGATCACTGAAACTGTGAAGAGGAAACTGAGTTTGGGGGCTAAAATTATTAGAGCAGGCGGTGTGGAGAAGATTTTCAAGCACCACTTTAGCATTAAAGAAGGAGAGAAGCTGCTAAAGGTTTCCCAATGCTATTTATCAACAACAGCTGGTCCAATAGGAGGCCTCCTCTTCATCTCCACCGACAAGGTTGCCTTCTGCAGTGACAGATCCATCAAATTGTCTTCTCCAACTGGCGAGTTTGCTAGAATTCGTTACAAGGTGTTGATCCCTGTAGAAAAGATATTGAGAGCCAATGAAAGCCAAAACGTGAAGAGACCATCAAAGAAGTACATTGAAATAGTTACTATGGACAACTTTGATTTCTGGTTCATGGGATTCTTGAATTATCACAAAACTTTGAAATGTCTTCAGCAAGCACTTTCTCAGGCTCAATACTTACAACTTGATCAGAAATGATTAAACAGATGTGTTCCACCCCATGGCCCCCCTACTTCACTAGATGTGTATGAATTAGGAGAACAAACTTGTATAAATATTGTAACAACTTTGTTACTTAGGCTTTTCTTCAATGGAACAAAAAAACATAATTCTTATCAGTAAATGGGTCATTGATGTTGTTTGCTACATATAAATTCAGAATCGTTTGCATTATATGTAAAGAATGCAAGGTGGAAAAGGAAACCAGTAAATTGCCATAAACAATAATTTGAGAAGTACAAAATTCATAATCAACAAAGGGTCAGTGCTTTTGCACTGTGATATATAGTTACTGCGGATAATCTTGAGGCTGGTTACAGGATTCCTAAATTATCATGAGCAGGAATTTTCTTAGGTTTTGTTTGGATCTTGGACTTGAGGAGGAATTTGTGGATGGAAAAAATATGGAAGGGGATGTGATAAAAAAAAATTCCTTTCTTTTTTTTTTTTCTTCATTCACATTGTTCTACTAAAATTGACAGAAGCTCTCTTTCAATTTCTGCCCCTCGTCACTCATCTTCCCTCCTATTATTCAGTGATCTTCCTCTCAAAGAGTTTGTGAGAAGTTTTACCATTGTCCAGCCCAGCCCATTTGGTTACAAAAACGTTCCAGTTCTTTCCAACAAAACATTACTAATTGAATGCTTCCAAGTATCCCTCTTATTCTTACTCAATATTTGAAGTGCACTCAAATCGACAAAATCTTAATCTTGATGAAGTGTTACTATAATTTTTACATTGAACTATATTGTCCAAGATACACGACACTATACGGTGTCATCTAAATCCTTAAACCTTGATGGTGGTTCTTTGTATTTTAACATCTTACGTGTCATTGCTAGCTATCTTCACCTAGAACCATGTTTTCTTTTCATTTTGACTATCTTTCAATTTATGTTGATTGAATCGAGTGAACTAGGAAACAAATTTTAAACCAAATCAACAACACTCATTAACCATGAAAGTTCAAGAGCTGAAATGTTGTTCAACATGTGGGAAATCCATGCTGATGGGGGATATCATGTGTAGATTCTCTTTCTCACTAACAATAAAAGTAAGCATGAATATAATATATATATATATATATAGTATTAACATGTAGTTTGCAAGGCCGGCTTTAGATTTGTTCTTGGAAATATGTTGAGATGGACCATTGAAAAGTGTTGAAGCATCTTTCTTTGATATGCTCTGTAAGACTCAATTTAATTATTTAGTTATTATGGTAACCCACATGATATTGCAATATGAATTATCGATTTAAAAAGATAATAGTTCTATATCATGAATCACAAGTTATTATCTGATTGGTCAATAGATGGAATAGTTTCCAAATCTTCTACTTTGATGGGCAAGTGAAGTTAAAATTATATTAGGAAACTTGTCCTCTCTCTACCTATAAAAGTATATTTAGATACCCATCAATTATTCTGAATATAATGTATTCTAAAGATGGTTAAGAGAGAGAAACTTTTTTCCACTAATATTATTATTAGTTTATGTTCAATCAATTTTGGGTCACTCGAACGTTTCGCATAATTGATCGTTATTTATTTTTTGCGTTATGTTATTATTTGTGAAAATCATGATAGTTCACAATTTTGGATTGTGAAGGTTGTTATATCCATAACACTATAAAATTATTTACATGCCCTGCCCTGGCCTACAATCCAATCACTTCCACCTCAGGATAAGAAGAAAAGGAATACCGAAATTTAGGGTTGCAATCCAGATATAAAGCATTTGAGTGGTTTGATCCTATCAGATTCTGACTTTCTGAACTGTCACTTTTCCTCCCAAATTAAGCAACACTTTATTGATTTCAAGAGTACAAATTTCATTTCAATTACTTTTGTTTTCCCTCAGCCTCACAATGGAATTGTACAAAGAACTTGAATTCTGTGGTTTCAATCTCAAGTATGAAATTTTATACTCTGAATGATGAATAAATGCTTTGGAATTCTAATTTGACAACTAAATTCTTTTCCAAAAATGGCCTGGATTGCACTTTATTCATTTTTTTTTTTTTTTGGTTTTGTTTGTTATTTTTTCAATCAGCATGAGCAACAAAATGGAATTATAGGATTTTTCATTTTTTCAAGAATTACAGAATTTATACCCAAAATAAAAATAAATTGAGTGTAATCAACAAAATGAATGTAAACAATATTATTTAATTTTTTCATTCTGAACTGTCACTTTTCCTCCCAAATTAAGTAACACTTGATTGATTTCAAGAGTACAAATTTCATTTCAATTACTTTTGTTTTCCCTCAGCCTCACAATGGAATTGTACAAAGAACTTGAATTCTGTGGTTTCAATCTCAAGTATGAAATTTTATACTCTGAATGATGAATAAATGCTTTGGAATTCTAATTTGACAACTAAATTCTTTTCCAAAAATGGCCTGGATTGCACTTTATTCATTTTTTTTTTTTTTTGTTTTTCTGCTCGGCAGATTAAGGCACTACCCACCATTATTAAGCATATATGAATAAGGGAGATCCAATTGAAGGTTTAACAGGAGACTTTCTGTAGTGTTGTTAGTTAAGCGGTTATGATGTAATCTCTCACAGATGATATGTTATTGTCCACCAAATCATTGAGATGACATACCACTGCATAATTTATATCTTTCGTAATGCAGTTTGGTTTACTTAACAAATTTGGAGTCTTTAGCCTTTGCTTTGCTCTGCACGTAACAGTCTAAGAAAAAGGAATGGTGTTGTCACAAAGCTAAATTGCCAGCTCTAAAAGCATTCACACCCTCACACACAGTCAGCAAGACCTAAGTAGACAATGCAAGATTGAATGATTGAAATGCTGACCCAACTGATTTTATTATTTTACTTGCATTAACCAATTGCACAAACAGTATGATTTTTTTCTTCTCTTTTTCTTTTCTTTTCTTTTTTTTCCCGTTTTTCCTTTTTTGTAAAAGGTTCCAAAGTTTCTTCAGAAGTAAAAGATAGAATACTTGAATAGCTTGATAGTTTTGTGAAACCTTAAAAAAAGAAGACTTGAACCTTTCTGCAATTGTCTTTTCTAAAAGAAACCAGACACACCATCACCTTCCCAACACCAATCTTTCTTTATAGAATTGTGTGCTTTTTATTCATGTGGGTGAGGAATGAATGACTCATCCAACTGAAGTTTAAGATTCACCAACTTACCTTCCTTCCCCCTATAAATACATTTTCTGAATCCATGGCTAGAACAATCACTCTAAGCATCCGATAATCTCAGAACATTCTGGGAATAGAAAGCAAAGAAGAATCACATTGGAGCAATAGCAATTCATCAAATATGAAGAAACAGCGTCTGGCACATGTTATTGAAACCCTGATCAGCTCACCGGTAGCATATCCAGATGAGAGGGCACCAAAAAGAATTTTACAGGACCCTTCTGCTGCTAGTGCTAGTGCATATAAAGTAGATAGGATGAAGAAAATTGGAAGAAAAGAAGACAATCTTGCAAGTGGCATCCGAGAGCACGGTAACTATTTATTTGCCTCAACTGAGTCTCAGAATAACTAAATTCAAGAATATATTATTTATTTTCAAGAAAAAGTATGTAGCGTTTTCAAAGGTATGGAAACCTCCATTACCAAATAATAAAATATAAATAAATAGATATTTAGCATTTACTGGTATATATCATATTAAGCTCTCAATTCTTTAGCTGCCAAGAAGATGGCAGAAAAATAAACATTTTGAAATAAACTCTGAAACAGCTGTATTAGTGTCAAGTTGTCAACCAATACGCTTCTATGCGAATGTGAGTCTTATTTGATTTTGTGAAAATTGCAGTGAAATTGGGACCCAAGATCACTGAAACTGTGAAGGGGAAACTGAGTTTGGGGGCTAAAATTATTAGAGCAGGCGGTGTGAAGAAGATTTTCAAGCACAATTTCAGCATTAGAGAAGGAGAGAAGTTGCTAAAAGCTTCCCAATGCTATTTATCAACAACAGCTGGTCCTATAGCAGGCCTCCTCTTCATCTCCACTGACAAGGTTGCCTTCTTCAGCGACAGATCCATCAAATTGTCTTCTCCAACTGGCGAGTTTATTAGAATTCATTACAAGGTGAGTCAACACGCATCAATATTTACAGAATTTCGTGTGTTAATTAGATATCAAAGTAGCTAAGTAATGTGTATTGCTTGCAGGTCATGATCCCATTAGTAAAGATAAAGAGAGCCAATGAAAGCCAAAACATGAAGAGACCATCACAGAAGTACATAGAAATGGTTACCGTGGACAATTTTGATTTCTGGTTCATGGGATTCCTAAATTATCGTGGAACTTTCAAACATTTTCAACAGGCACTTTCTCAGGCTCAATACTTACAACTCGATCAGAAGTGACTAAACAGATGTATTCCACCCCCACCACCACCCCCTTTTTCGTTAGATGTGTATATGAATTAGGAGAACAAAGTTGTAAAATCACAACATTGTAAAAAAATTGTTACTTAGGCTTTTGGTTCAATGGAAAACAATTTTTATCCTTTTCTATATTTCTTTATAACACATTTGGTGTGAGACTGAGACATGGACTGTTTGTTTCGCTTTCTTCTGTTTTATGCATTAAAAGAGGTGGTGTGGTGTAAAAAAGCTAAAATGCCACATCAAAAGCTTTAAATCACTCACACACACCAGTTCAAATTCAACAAGTGGAAAATTGTGATGCGCAGATGGGGCACTGATGTTGAGATTCTCTTTCCCAACTGGCTATAAATTTGAGCATGGAATTGGATAATCTTATCATACATCAACACGTACCTACAAATGTAGTAGCATACAAGTCTGGCTTTAGATTCAGTCACTGATTCACTTGGTCAAAAAAAGAGTACTTTAATCATCCTTAAATCTCCGTGACCTACAGTTTTCTCCCTTGCACCTCAACCTCAAGGTATTATAATAAAAAAGAATGTTCAAATTAATGATCACAATCCTGAGAAGAAGAAAAAAAATGACAAAAAAAGAAGAGCATTTTGTGTAGTGGGTATTTCGTCGTCTTGACTCTAATTTTTCTACAAGTTATAGTTCTCTGACTCTCAGTTTAAATATTGATTTTTGTTAGAAGACTTCCATTACTGTTTGTTTTATATTGCTCAGTTCCTTTCCATGATTTAAGACTTGAATGAAACTATCACCAAAATGCTGTCAGTGTAATCTATTGCTCAGTTCTGTTTTCTCATTATATACGTTTGTGTGTATATTTAAATCCACATAATTCTAATTCAATGTTATTAAAATAAACCACATACCCGAATCCTGCAATTCTTAAAAACTTTATGATTTCAATTTCAATTTCCCAAACCCTGAAAAGTAAAAATAATAGCTAAATGTTCAAAAAAATAAAAAAAAAACCAAAGGCTTTGAAGCAATGACATGGCTTATTAACTTGACATGCTCCATCAGATCAAATATTATTTATTTATTAGTCATCATGAGATCACCATATAACTTTTATCCTTTTCTTTCTTTCTCTTAACATATTTGGTGTGAGACTGGGATATGGCTGTTTCTCTTTCTTATCAAAGGTGGCTTTAAAAAGGCTTAACTGACTCACCACATGGTCACATACACAGTCACCACACGGTCACATACACAGTCACCATACGCAAAGCACCAACTAACTGCATTATTTACCCCATTAATTAAACTAACTGCAAAAGGCTGTATTTGTCAACTCCAGCCACTGAAATGACTACAGATGAAATCGAATAATGAAGACTAAAAACTAACTTAAGAAAAGGAAGATGAATAAATTTTCACTCCATGGAATTTCAAGCAAACCATATTCTTAATTTGTTGGATGACCTAAACTTAAAAAATTCCAAAAAATACACACCGCATAACCTTTACTAGGATGACTTCAACCTTTCTACAAGCTAAAAATTACCAGACACATCATCTATGCAACAATCTTTGTTTAAAAAATTCTCTAAAGAGTTCATAACTGTGCCTTTATTAATGTTGATGCGGCACAGGTGACTCATGCAACTAAAAGTTGAGATCCATCAAACACCATCTAACTTTTCTATGTGTAAATACATTGCAAGATACATGGTTTCACGCATCATTCTACACATCTCCTTGGCTTCATACACCTCTGACAGTGGAAGAGCACAATCTGAGGGAGAAACAGACAGCTTTAAATTCAAGCGATTCATCAAGCTAGCATATATGAAGAACCTCCTGATGGAACATGTTATTGGAATTCCAGTGAGCTCAGTAAATTATTCAGTTCAGAAGTCACCAAAAGACTTTTATGCAATCCTGATAGCCGATACCACATTCCCCCTCCAAATGGATCTCTCCAATTCAAAAAGAGTAAGTCTTTCCATTCCTCTCAGGATTAGAGAGGTCTATGCTACTTACTAGTTTTAGATGATTGAGATTAAGACCAGTCTTTGATAAATGATTTTCATGGATGCAGAAAAAGCAGACCATCTTGCCAATGGCATTCAAGATCACAGTAACTATTTCTCAATTCAATTGAGTCTGATAATAATTGATCATGTCCAAGAACACATAAAAATTGGACTTCTGTCTTGATTTAATTTATTTTTTACAAAATTGCAGTGAGATTAGAGTCCAATATCTTGGAAACAGTGAAGGGGAAATTGAGATTGGGCATGAAAATTCTTAAAGTTGGGGGGATGGAGAAGATCTTCAAGCAGAAATTTAACATTAGAGAAGGAGAGAAGTTGTTAAAGGCTTTGCAATGCTATTTGTCAACAACAACCGGTCCTATAGCAGGCCTCCTTTTTATCTCAACCGACAAGGTTGCCTTTTTCAATGAGAGATCCATCAAATTGTCTTCTTCGAGTGAGTCAATATAAATCAATGTCTGAATTCATATCCATTCTTACTAACATCTTAAATAAATATATGAGCTAACTAATGTGTATTAGATGCAGGTTTTGATCCAACTTGTAATGATTAAGAGAGCCAATGAAAGCCGAAACACAAAGAGACCACAACAGAAGTACATAGAAATAGATACTGTGGACAATTTTGATTTTTGATTCATGGGATTCATAAATTATTGCGGAACTTTCAAATATCTTCAACGGGCACTCGGGCTTTCAATACTTACAACTCGATCACAAGTGACTAAACAAATGTATTCCACTCCCCCGGCCCTGTTGCTTCGTTAGATGTGTATGCATTAGGAGAACAAAGCTGTATAATCACAATTTCGTACAAATTTGTTACTTGGGCTTTGCTTCAATGGAAATAATTTCTCAGTAAAAGGGTCGCTGACACTGCTTGCTATATATCATTTTATGACTTGATGGTAGTTTGCCTAGTTTCCTGCAATTTTGCTTCCCAAAAGCGGGGAAACGAAACCAATATGTTGCTTGGTGCAATTTATGATTTGAGTGAACTACAAAATGCATAATAATCAACAACGGGTCAATGGTTTTGCACTGTGATTTCACTGATCTTCCTCTCAGAGCAATTTCGATTGGCACTTTACAAGAGTAGTGACAAGGGGTTTGACATTGCCATCTGATTTGGTCACTGAACCTTTCCAGTTCTTGTCAACAAAAGATTGCTAAAACCATCCTTCTATTCATGCAAAACTTTCTAGAATCTGAAACCCCATGAACTTGGAACATTTATTATTCTCATACGCAACAACATGAGTGATAAAATTGTGCTCACTCATATGGAGCCATAGCATTCAACACATTACATTGTTTTCTTTTCATTTTCTATCATTTAATTTTATTTTAACTGAATCGAGTGAACTAGGAAACAAATTTCGAACAAAATCAACAACACTTGCTAACCTTGAAAGTTCAAAAGCTAAAAAGTCATTCCACATGTGCGAAAAGTGTGCTGATGGGGCTATCATGTGTAGATTCCCTTTCCCACTAACAATGATATAAAAGACATATCTTATCAAGACGTAGTAGAGTGTAAGGTCGGCTTTAGATTTGGACATGGAAACATGTTGAGACGGACCATTGAAAAGCATTGAATCATCTTTCTTTAATATGAGGATAAGATAAAAAGCAATGCCGAAATTGAGGATTGTAATCAAATCCAGATAAGGCGTTTAGGTGGTTTGATCCTATCAGATTGTGATGTTGTCAGCAGTCACCTTTCCTCCCAAATTAAGCAACACTCGATTGATTTCAAGACTACTGAGTCCTTTTCAATTAACTTAATCTGTTTTCCCTCACCATGGAAATTTAAAGAGAACTTGAATTCTGTGGTTTCAATCTAAAGTATCAATTTTTTGTTTTTAAGAATGATGAATGAGATTTCGTAATTCTAATTTGAGAACTAGATTCATGTAGGAAAATGGGGATAGAAAGCAATCATCAAGATGACATATTATTGTCCTCCAATCATAAAGATATCAACGCTGTTTGGTTTACTTAACAAGGTTGATAATATTTTGAAGGGAGCTTCTTTTAATAATTCCCCTTCCTAAAATTTTATTCCATCTAATCCATATATATATATTTTGACTATTTCATTAAAATACTCTCAATCTTTCATGTCCCATTAATGTTGATATTTAATATTGATTATTATTATGTTTTGGTAGTTTTCATGATCATTCATATTCTCCACATCTTTACTCTAAAAAAATGCATTAACTACACATCATTATTTAATGTTGATATATATTACACACAAACAATTAAACATGATTTTTATCGATTGTCATTATGTTTTAATAGTTTCCATGCATCCAAATGTTGACTGTACATGATGACGTGAATGATTTAGATGACGTGAATGTGAATGTTCACATTAGATGATGTGAACGTAAATGTTCATATCATATGACGTGTGATAAATGTGATGTTAAGGTTCACATTAGCAGTGTATCAAATTACACAACCACAAGTCTCACCTTTCATTTGAATATAAACATGACTATATCGGATGACGTAAATGTTTACATTAGAGAATGTGAATGTGAATGTTCACATTAGAGCACATTGTGATAAAAGTGATGTTAAGGTTTACATCAGATAAGAGAAAATGTTCACATTTTTTTTAATGTGTTATCAATTAAAAATATATTCACATCAGATGAGAGAGAATGTTCACATTATTTTTAATGTGTTATCAATTAAAAATATATTCACATCAGATGAGAAAAAATGTTCACATTATTTTTAATGTGTTGTTAATTAAAAATATATTCATATTATATAATAATATAAAATAATAACATCAATGTTATTTAATTTGTGTATGAAATTTTTTATGCCTTGATCATTTTTCTTCTCTCTCCTTCCCTTACATTAAATATCAATATTAAATATAAAGGCATAAGAGTTTAAAAAAATAATGTAAATCAAAAAAAATGACTTTATAGAATAAAATTATAAATACATAGGACTAAGTGAGTTAAAAAATTCATCCATAAACTTCTTAGGTTAAAACACTTATAAATGGGATTTATCAATAAAAATCTCTATTTTTAAAGAGGAACAGCGTCACAAAGCTAAAATTCCAGCTCAAAAAGCTTAATTCACACCTTCATATACAGTCAGCAGAGCTAAGCAGGCAACATGGTCCTGCTTTGTAGGATTGAATTATTGAAATGCTGACCCAACTGGTTCTATTATTTTACTTTCATTGACCAATTGCACAAAAGTGTATGATTTCTGTTTTTTATTTATTTATTTTTAAATTTTTTTTAAAGGTTCGAAAGTTACTTTAGAAGTTAAAATAACTGATGTATTATTATTGATGTATTGAATTAATAATTCCCCTTCCTAAAATTTTATTCCATCTAATCCATATATATATATATATATATATTTTGACTATTCTACTAGGTCTCAACGTAGACTAAAATACTCTCAATCTCTCATGTCCCATTAATGTTGATATTTAATATTGATTATTATTATGTTTTGGTAGTTCTCATGATCATTCATATTCTCCATATCTTTACTCCAAAAAAATACATTAACTACACATCATTATTTAATGTTGATATATATTACACACAAAAAATTAAACATGATCTTTATTGATTGTCATTATGTTTTGATAGTTTCCATGCATCCCAAATATTTACTGTACATGATGACGTGAATGATTTAGATGACGTGAATGTGAATGTTCACATCAGATGATGTGAACGTAAATGTTCATATCAGATGACGTGTGATAAATGTGATGTTAAGGTTCACATTAGCAGTGTATTAAATTACACAACCACAAGCTTCACCTTTCATTTGAATATAAACATGACTATATGGGATGACGTAAATGTTTACATTAGAAAATGTGAATGTGAATGTTCACATCAGAGGACATTGTGATAAAAGTGATGTTAAGGTTCACATCAGATAAGAGAAAATGTTCACATTTTTTTTAATGTGTTATCAATTAAAAATATATTCACATCAGATGAGAAAGAATGTTCACATTATTTTTAATGTGTTGTTAATTAAAAATATATTCATGTTATATAATAATATAAAATAATAACATCAATGTTATTTAATTTGTGTATGAAATTTTTTATACCTTGATCATTTTCCTTCTCTCTCCTTCCCTAACATTAACTATCAATATTAAATATAAGGCATAAAAATCTAAAAAAATAGTATAAATCAAGAAAAATGACTTTATAGAATAAAATTATAAATACATGGGACTAAGTGGGTTAAAAAATTCATTCATAAACTTCTTAGGTTAGAACACTTATAAATGAAATTTATCAATAAAAATCTCTATTTTTAAAGAGGAACAGCGTCACAAAGCTAAAATTCCAGCTCAAAAAGCTTAATTCACACCTTCATATACAGTCAGCAGAGCTAAGCAGGCAACATGGTCCTGCTTTGTAGGATTGAATTATTGAAATGCTGACCCAACTGGTTCTATTATTTTACTTTCATTGACCAATTGCACAAAAGTGTATGATTTCTGTTTTTTATTTATTTATTTTTTAAAAAATTTTGAAGGTTCGAAAGTTACTTTAGAAATGAAAAAGATTGAATGCTTGCTTCGCAGGTTTTAGTGGAATTTATGAAGTTTCTTTCTTCTAATTTTTTTTTTTTTTTTTAAAAATTGTCTAATGCTTAGCCTCAAATAATATGTCTTTGGTCATGCTTTTATTACTTCTAACACTATCATTTCATTTTGTGAATTTATCACAAAAGAAGACTTGGACCTTTCTGCAAATCTCTTTTTATGAAAGAAACCAGACACATCATCACCTTCCCATCAGCAATCTATCTTTATAGAAAGTCTATTTAAGACGTGTGTTTTTTATTCATGTGGATGAGGCAGACATGACTCATTCCACTAAGAACTTTAAGATCCACCAATACCTTTCTCTTCCTATAAATACATTTCCTGAATCCATGGTTAGAGTCATCACTCTAAACGTCTGACAATCACACAGCATTCTGGGAATAGAAAGCAAAAACGGAATCACATTGGAGCAATAGCAATTCATCAAATATGAAGACACAGAAGCTGACACATGTTTTTGGAACTCCGGTCGGCTCACATGTGGCATATCTGGGTGAGAGGACACCAAAAAGAATTTTACAAGATCCTGCTACTGCTACTGCTACTGCTAGCCGATACCAAATTTCCGCTTCTTCAATTGGATCTCTAAAATTAAAACAGAGTAAGTCTCTCCATTACTCTTCACAATAAAGAGCTATTTTACTTACTAGCATTACTAGTTTTAAATTATTAAAATAGAGACAGTATTTAACAAATAGATTGTGATTAACGTGCAGAAAAAGTAGATTGGAAGAACAAACTTGGAGGAAAGCAAGACAATCTTGCAAATGGCATCAGAGAGCATGGTAATGTAATTACTTCTTTTCTAGAAATTTTTTTGGTATCAATATTAGTGTCAACCAAACCAACATAGGAATAGGATGATCATGATACATCTCTGTGCGAGTCTTATATTATTTTATGAAAATTGCAGTGAGATTAGGGCCCAAGATCACTGAAACTGTGAAGGGGAAACTGAGTTTGGGAGCTAAAATTATTCGAGTAGGCGGTGTGGATAACATTTTCAAGCACCACTTCAGCATTAGAGAAGGAGAGAAGCTGCTAAAGGTTTCCCAATGCTATTTATCAACAACAGCTGGTCCAATAGGAGGCCTCCTCTTCATCTCCACTGACAAAGTTGCCTTTTGCAGCGACAGATCCATCAGATTGTCTTCTCCAACTGGCGAGTTTGTTAGAATTCGTTACAAGGTGTTGATCCCGGTAGGAAAGATATTGAGAGCCGAGGAAAGCCAAAATGTGAAGAGACCATCACGGAAGTACATAGAAATAGTTACTGTGGATGATTTTGATTTCTGGTTTATGGGATTCTTGAATTGTCGAAAAACATTGAAATGTCTTCAGCAGGCAATCTCTCAAGCCCAATGATACACTTCTGTAGTCAAGTACTCTGTACAAATTTTGCTACTTCGGCTTACTTTGCTTCAAAGCAAAGGAATGTATTGATAAATGACATCATTGAGCTATTTGACATTATGGATATCATTATGATTCAATGGTACTTTGCTATGATATAGAATCATTTCCATAATACCGAATGAATAATACCTAGTAAGCTATAGCCTCTTTTCCTGGAACGGTGTATGCCAAACTTCTAAGCTGCTGCTTCATTCATTCATTTGGGAGAACCATAAAATTTGTAATCAACAAAGCATCGACCATTTTGCGCTGTGACTGCCATCATGCAACCTGCTGCTTAAGACCAATTTACGGTGTGTTTTAAAGCTTAGCAATTTCATTTCACTCAAGGGTGCAAAACAAAGTCTTTCAGCATCTGCGCATGCAGTTGGCTGATTAACCATTAGGCTTGACTTTTGGCACTCTAAATTGAAACTATCATACGGCAATGAAATCAAAAGTACCAAATGGACAAGAGAAAATTACACTACCTAAATTGCCTTGTGTAAAAATTAGTGTCAATTTGGTCCAATCAGTGATAGGCACTCGAAGTTTGAACGGATAATTGTCAAAGTTTGCCTCACATGACCATTTTTCAAGGTCAAATTAGTAATTCACCCATTTCTCGCCCCCCACCCTTGAACAGCTTCTTCGCCGTCCCGCTTCCCCCTCTTTCCACATAATTCCCAAACTCATAAATTAGAACTACAGTAGCCACTTCTACATAAGTGGGAAAATTTTGGAACCGTTGAGTTCCAACCAACTCGGAAAAAAAGTTTACCAACTCCAAAACCCTAGCACTTTGCAAAATTAGGAGCATGCTAGCAGTGACACCGTAGAGCTGTAAAACAAACCAAGCTGCCAAGAGCTCGAATCCTATTTGAGATACTCAAAGTAAAGTAAGCAAGCCAACCATTTACCAATACACAGGTTCATATTATTATGCCCAATCCAAATCCACATCTGCAATCAAATTAAAATAACATGCCCCAATTTCAAAAGAACAGAAAACTAGCAAGCAACAACGTACAGACAAATAAACAACTCTTTTTGTGTGATAAATATTAAACAGGCCAAATGTTACAGAATTCTTAAGCCAATACATAACATGGACAAGGGCAGGAGCAGAAGATTTGAGTAGCAATAGCTCACCCAGCCTTGTACTGATCCATTAAGTTTCCAAAGGCAAATGTCCACACAAGCGGCATTTTATCAGAAGAAAATTCTGGCATTGTCAGACCATCCAAACTTAGCCTCACAGTAAAACATCTGGCTCCCCTAAACTCCCAGTAAAATTTACTTTACAACACTTAGGAAACTGCAATCCAGCCTCATCGCAACCTGCCTTTGTGACATGTGGGCATGACCTCACATCAAGGTATTCTAGAGAGTTACATAACTCCAAAAGCATGCCTACCCCAGCCACCGTGATCTTTGGACAGTTACTGACCTTCAAAACCTTCAAAACCAACTTCAATCCATCATTTCCTAATCCCTGAAAAGCAGAATCTGTCACCTCCTCACAGCACCCTACGTCAAGAGCTTCTAAATTTCTGCACTGAGAGAGGATGCAATTCAATGAAGAATCAGAAACATTTAGGCACCAATCCATCCTAAGGTTCTTGAGACTCTGACTACAAGCAGAAGCTAATGACTTTATGGACTCATCAGATACGTCTCGGCAACCACCAATTATAAGAGTTTCTAGATTTTTACAGAATTTGGCTAATGATAATATGGACTCATCTCCAATCTTATAGCAATCTAACAACTTCAGCGTCTTCAGAGAAAATGAACAAGCTTTGGATACACTAGATATCCCAACATCTCCAACATTACTGCATTTATTGATATCTAAAAGCTTCATATTTTGACAACCATCAACAAGAACAGTGAGCCCAGAGTCAGTTACGTTGGTGCATCCTTGCAAACATAACTCCTCTAGATTATGACAGTTCTTGGAAAGAGCTTGCAACACAGCATCTGTAACAAATCTGCAACCAGTAAGATGCAGGCTTCTCAGGTCACGACAGCCCTCAGCAACAGCTGACAACCCCTTGTCTGTTAGCTTTCTACAGTAAGATACATCTAAGTCCTGTAGAGAAGAAAGACCACATCCAATTGCTGATATTCCATTATCGGAAATACCTACAGAACAAGAATAGTATACCAACCCAAATAAGCAACAGTGTAGAAGTTTTGTTTCATTATCATATAAGAAGGGAGTTTAGTTGGGAATGAGGTCAGGTATGCAAAGGACAAAAAGACCTATTGAGTCACATAACACAAACATAATGCCCAAAACAAAAGAGTTCCCATGTAACACATTTCTTTATTATTATTTTATTTATCCGTACTCCCACATTTGTTCTCCATAACCCCAAAAGGGCAGTCCAACAATGGAACTCTTATAAAAACAATAATCAACTTTAGCTCGAATGGTTTGTAAGGGAACCCTACTTTCTCCAAATTTCAGATCATTTTCTTTCGACTAAATATTTTACAAACCAGAGACCATGACCCAAATACTATAAGCCTAAAACAGCTAGATGAAGAAGCTCTATTAACCACAGCAACCCCAAATTCATGTAGCCCCTTACGTTGTTTTAATAAAATATGATAAAATATGACTCACTTCCAACATTTTCCTTTTCTCTTCAACTTTTCTTTTTTATTTATTTATTTTCTAAAGAGAAAGGAGATATGCTAAGTCAACATGAATCTCTCTCCCTGTGATCCACAACATTTCTCAACCAAAGAAGATACCGAAGTTCTTCAAACACCAGCCAATACCAATTGCTCCTATTATTAGAGTCTTTACAGATGTGCAAAATTCTCAACCTTCAGTACATACAGTAATAGAATTTTGAGTTAAGAAATGGATTTCATTTTCATTTAAACTAACTCTTGAACAACCCAGAAGCACATCTACATGTATCTGTAAGGAATCAAACAACTTGTTCCTGATTTAGCATCTAATAGCCTGTGTATAACACATTAATTAATAAGAAAAAAAACACCCTTTAAGCAATCTTTGCATTTCCTAACATAGCATGCCGTGTTATTTTTGATCAACTACAGTACATCTCACAAATAAATGCCCGGAATTAACACCTTCTAATTGTAGTAAATTTTAAGGACAAATTAGTAAGAAAAGTAATTCCAAGGAAATATACTGCTTCCAACCATTGACCAAGAAGAACGTAGTGCCACTAACTTAGGAATCTTTACAGTGAAACCTGACCTCATAGAAGTCAATTATAGCTATTTATCAGACAGAAGACACTGAAGTCTTTTTCAATTACAAGCAATTCAAAACTGAAAACTTAACAAAACCACACAAAGAGTATCAAATTATCAATACGATACATCATGACAACACCCAAATTTCACAAACTATCAGTAATTATTGACAAGAGTTCTCACAGCTGACCAAGAAAGTAAACCAGAATAATTGCATAATGAAGAACTAGTATATAAATTTGCCGAGTACATCATCATCGCATAAGGAACTAATATACACAAATACAGACATATATATGCAATTTTGCTAAAAATTCATCAGAAAACAGTGAAAATAAAAGAAACCCGTAAAAAAATTGAAACTTGAGCGAAATGTGTAGATGTTACTTTTGCAATTCCTGAAGGCATATATGTAATTTGGTAAAAATTCATCAGAAAATAGAGAAAATAACAGAAACCCATCAAAACAAATTAAAAATTGAAACTTGAGGGAAATGGGTAGTAGTTACTTTTGCAATTCTGAAGGCTGAGGACTCGAAGGCAAGTGAAGGAATTAGCAATGACAGAGAGATCAGAGTCGGTGACGCCAGGGTAGAAGGACCTGGAGATAGACTGAGAGAGATCGAGCTCATGGAGGCGAGTGAAGCGAGCGGCCATCTTGCGGAGCATGAGGGGTCCGGCGCGGGCGGCGAGCTTGCGCCGCTCGGTGCTCTGCAAGTGGAGCCACCGCTTGCAGACGAGTCCGAACACTTCCTTGTCTTTGTCGCTCTCAAGCCTCGCCAGTATTGCTCTGAGCTCGTCGTCTCTCAGGGCCTCGTTTATGCAAATTGAAGTCATTTTTCAGAGTAAGGAAACCCTAACCCTAACCCTAGCTAAGTTTCTAATAATCAGAATTGTGATTGGATCGAAGCTGGAAAATGGATTGAAGAGAGAAGATTAGGGCTTGATCGGAAACCCTAATCTGCTCCTCAATGCTTCCTTCAATTTCAATGGCCGATAGAGCTGAGCTAGTGTCAACGTGGAGTCCTAATATATACCCAACCAGCATTTATGCTATGGGTGTGTTTGTTGCGAAAGATTAGGTGTGGTTTGGTAAACTTACGTTTTTAGTTTTTTTATTTATATTTATAAAAATTAAAAAAAATTAAATAAAAGTTTATTTGGTAAAATTTTTGAATTATAAATCAGTGATCTCAGTTTATAAATTTGGTCAAAAAATAAAAACACAAAAAATATGTTTCTATTTTGAGTTTTGAGTTTTTTTTTTTTTTACCACCCAACACTAACCACCCGCCACCATTTTCTACCAACTGTCTTCCGCCACCACCACTGCCACCCTACCACCACCACTCACCACTCACCTGCCACCCACTACGCTGCAGCACTCGCCACCACTACCCACCCCTTGCCGCCACCGGCCGCCACCAACCACCACCACCACCACCACACCACCTTCCATCCCCCGCCACCACCCGCCACCACCCACACACCGCCACTACCATTCACCGCCTGCCACCACCACCCGCCGCCTACTTGCCACCACCACTCACCACCACCTGCCACCACCATCTACCACCTGCCACCACCACCCACCCACAACCACCAAGCCACCAGCCACCTGCCACCACCACCACGTACCACCCACCATCACTGCCACCATCCACTCGCTACCACCTACCACCCACCATCGTCACCCACCCACACGCCACTTACACGCCACCACCCGCCACTTACTCTCCACCACCCACTCACCACCACCACCACCACCCACCTACCTGTTACTACCACCCGTCCCACACCACCACCACCACCACCCTCCACCGCCGCTACCGTCACCCATCCACCACGATCACCACTCGCCATCCGCCACCCAACTGCCACCACCACCACCACCCACTCGCTACTACCCACCACCCGCCACTGTCACCACCCATCCACCACCACCACCCACTCCGCTACCACCCACCATCCGCCACCACCACCCACACCGCCACAACCGCCACAACCACCACCACCACCCACTCGCTACCACCCCACCCGCCACGTCCCACCCACCCTACCACCACCACCCACCACCACCAGCTACCACCACCACCGTCACCCCTTTCCCCACCGTCTTCCACCGCTACTTGCCACCACTTGCCATTTCTCAACTCTTTTTTATATTTTTAAAATTTTTTTAAACATTTTGTCAATTACCAAACGTGTTTGTAGTTTATGTTTTTCTAAAAATAAACAAAAATCAGTTTATAAAATTTTTGTAAATATAAACTGAAAACGTAAACGTTACCAAACACACCCTTAGCGTCTGTGATTGGACTATTAGTTCGATTTAACTAATAGTTTATTGTTTGTTTTAATTTTTTTGTTTTGGATTATTAGGTTTCGTATGTTTGGAGAGGGATTAAGATTGGTGGTAAGATGAGACCTATTAATATTGTATTTGTTTTGAGAGATGAGGAGACGATTGATAGTGCGTTTCGGATTAGGATGGGTCTCCCCTAAGGGGATTCGGATGGACCTCCAGGACTTGGTATTAGAAAAATAGTCCAGCGGACTATAAATTTTTTATTTTTATTTTATTTTTTACATGTCGGGTATTTTTTTTGGAACATTAATGTTTAATTTTTTGTATTTTTTGTTAAGTAAAAATCATTATTTTATTTATTTTATTTTTTCTGGAAATTTTTATTTTATTTTTATTTTTTAAATTTTTTTTACATGTTGGGCATTTTTTTTAAAACATTAATGTTTAATGTTTTTGTATTTTTTTATTTGTTTTATTATTTTATATAAAAATAATTTAACAATTCCTACAATAACAACTATCATCAAAACAAATACAGTTTTACTTAATCCCCTCACTATCAATCCCCTCACTAACAATTCTCTCACTATTAATCCCCTTATTATCAATTCCCTCCATTCTACTTCTGAAAACAAATGGGGTCTTAGTCCCATATTTGTGGGACTATCCTATCCCATGGGGGAATTTCCATAGAATTGGTATCCCACGGGATTAGGTCTGAAATGTCCATTTTACCCCATGCTATTACTTAGCAAACTATTAGAAAAAGGTTAAATAGTTTTTTGAACATTTATGAATTATTTTTTTAGTGTTGTTAATTTAAAATTATATATTAAATAAAAAATATAAATTATAAATTTAATTTAATTGAAAATAATAAATTAAAAATTATGGCCTTATAAATTAAATTTTTTTAGTGTTGTTAAATTATAAATTATAAATTATAGATTACAAATTTAAAATTATGTATTAAATAAAAATTATAAATTACAAGGGTAAAATAGTCTTTTGAATATTTATCCTTATCTAGTCCGTCTAACCAAACATATGATACAAATCCAATCCAACCAAATAGTTCGGGGATAATGTATCCTGGGACTAACAATCCGGTGGATTACAATCTTCCCTTATCCAGTTCGTCCAAACAAACACACCCTATGTTTGGATGGTGGGATTTCCCTAAAAAAATGATTAATCTATTTTTTCACTTTCATCAAATATGGGAATATAAATATATAAGTGGGTTAATTAGTCATAAATTCAATCTAAAGAGTATGAGGTATTAAGTCCTAATTATTCTATTTTTTTTATTATTTGGTGAGAAGTTGTTGAGAATATTCTATTTCTAATTTTACCTCTTAATTTTTTTTTATCCGTTAAAATTATTTTCTATATGTTGAATTGAAATTATTTCTCAGCTAATTATTACAATTTGTTTCTATGGCCTATTTGAAAAGTTGGCTATTTTAGTAAATTATTTTAATATGTTAAAATTTTTATTTTTAGAAAGATTATTGAATTTTTTTATAGTTAAATGTGATATTTTGAGAAAAAAAAATGAGATGATTATAAATTTAATGTAATATTTTGTCTTATTAATTATTTTAATCTATTTTATCTTTTTATAAATTTTAACTTAAAAAGCTAAATTGTAGTGTTTGCCAAACAAGGCACATAATTCATTCCATATTTTAGTTAGGGTAAATAACACTGACACCCCTGAGGTTTATATTTATTACAGTTCCCTCCTCACATTTTGGAAATTGCATCTCCTCCCTGAGGTTTAAAATTTCATTGCAGATTCCCCCTTCAACAATTTAATTTTTTTAAATACCAATTTTGCCCTCATTAAGTAAATTACATTGACACCCCTCACGTTTTAGAAATTACAATCCCCTCTCTAAGGTTTAAAGTAGCATTATCAATTGCCCTCTCGGTTAGTATTAGTTAGAAAAAAAATTCAATGAAAAAAAAATTAATTGAAAAAACAAATTAATTGAAAAAAAAAATTTGTTAGTAAAGTTTTTAAATTTCTGTTTAAAAACCAACGTAAACTCATTTTTTGAATTTATGTTTTTTCCTTAAATTTACAAACTGAGACAACTATTTTAAACCAAAAAAATTATCAAACAAGTTTTTATGACAGTTTTTAAAATTTTTGTAAATATAAATTGAAAACTGAAAACGAAATGGTTACCTGTAGACGTCCCCGAACGTCCCGGGAGAACCCCGTTTTGTTCATATGGGCTCACTACAGTTCAGACTCAAATTGTCACGGTTCTTAATCTGATCTCATAATGTGCATTGTGAGATTGATAAATCACCAAAGAGTCCAAATTTGGCAAATCGTTTTTTAAAACAGATTTTTTTGAAAGAAGTGCCAAACATGGACTGCTTTGCCAGATACAGAGTCGCCACCTAAATATTTTATTTTTGGAGAATTTAGGAAACCCTGTGTAACAACCCTCATACTGTTTACCGATTAATGACTGATTGATTACCGATAACCATTGATTACCGTTAAATTGAATTGATTATGACTGATAATTGGACTGGTAAAAGTACTGAACTGACTGACTGAAATTGGAAACCGAATTGATTGAGTATATGCTAGTTAAATTGCATTCTATCTGTTTGACTGTATGAATATCTGTTCATGCTTATATGTTTAAACTGCTAATTGAAGGCCTTATCGGCGGCCGAATCCGGAATTGAATATAGAGCTCAACTCTCTCAAATTAATGTGATTTTATGGTATAATTATCTGAAAATTGATTAGGTATGATTAAATTAGATTAATATTGATCAATTGCATAGTTTGATTTATTTACCATATTGCCACCTTTAGTGGCCCACTCAATATAACATATTTGAGTCTCATTTCATACACATTCATCAGCCATTTCCCTTACCATTGCCGACTAGAGAGAGAGGGTAAGAGGAAAAGAGTAATTCAACTTGTTTCATGGTGAATTGGCTAGAATTGCTTGAAGAATTGAAGGTTGATTACTAATTTGAGCTCCTAAACTTTGAATACAAACTAAGGTAGAACTCATCTTCTTATTTTGCCATTAAGCTAGTTCTTGCATGATTCACTGCTTCATTGTAGAACTAAGTCATGTTTGGTTCATTGTTGTTAAATGAAGCTCAATTCTTGCATGCATGTGTTCTTGGTTGAATTTGGAGTTGAGTTCATGACAAAATGTTACATGCATGTTCACAACTATGTTTAAGTCCATGAGTTCATCTTGTTTTTAAAGGTTTGAGTTCTTTTGAAACAGCATTAAAGCTTTGAAAATGATTTAAGATCATGCATGTCATGTTTGAGGATTGTTCTTGGAAATGGTTTGAAATTGGGTTTGAATTAAACACCCTTGGGCTTTGATTTCTCAAAAATTGAGCTTGAATCATGTATTCCATGTGTTTATAAGAGTTTTCCAGAAAATGAGCCCAAGAGGATCGGTTTTTGAGTTGTTAACAACTTGGTTTTGAGCTTGAGCTTGGAGGTGCAATCTGGGTTTTCCAGATT